GAAAGTTGCAATTACACCCCAAAAATGCCGAAACATGTGCTAAAATACCACGGTGGGACAATGATCAAAGCCAGTGTGGGATCGCCTGGAGCAAAGAAAACATATTGTGGAATGGTAAATGGTAAATGCAAAGAAACATGTTTTGAGATGTTCAGCGAAAACTGTCCCATGCCTTGGAGAGGCCAACGACACTTGCATAGCTTGGAAGCTGGAGCCTCTGCCAATCAAGGTGCATCCATTTGAAGCGGAAATGTAGAAGTCAACAGTCAATGCATCAATTATATAACTATATGTATATATCAAAGGCTTATCGATTCTGACAACATGCCTGGTCTTTTAGGTGTCTACCCCGGCTACCTGTCCACTAAGACTACCCCGACAAAAAAAATAACTCTGACTGACCTTCGAACCTGAACCAGGAAGATTAAAACTGCTTCGATGACTCCCCTGACGATAGAAATGTCACAGATTCAGGTGTATTCGCTCAAAGCAGTTTAGGTCATATCCTACCATGCCATGTAGGAGACTCAGCAAGGTTTTGCAATCCACATCGTCACCGGCACAGAACTGCACTCTTTGCTCATTTGAGAAACTCTGGAAGGAGATCGGGCATGTTGGTGTTGATCCAAACCCCGCCACCTCAGTTCCAGTGGAGCCAGGAAACACATGAACACCTCAATATTTATATTTGCATAGATGATCATACATAATGTATCATACATACACACATATGTGTATATTATATATATATATATGATTATGTACTTATAGTTATCCGCAGCATATGAAAGTGACGCGGGCTTTGACTTCTTCTTCGACCCCTGGAGATTGCGTCAATTCCTTCTAAACCTGTAGTCATCAAAATTTGTTACAATGCAAAATGTTGAGACGGCTTCTGCTTGCTACCTCCAAATGCGGAATGATCCAACAAATAATCTGAGTTATCCTTTGATGGCTGAGGCGCGTTCATGCCAACGCTCTAAGCGCTTCTTCAGTGCTGGCAAGCCAACGTCTGCTTCATGGTTTCCAAAGCACGCCTCGGAGGGCCAGCCTCCAAAAAATGCTTGGTTGCAAACGGGTGCCAGTAACAAGTGCCTTACTAGTAGTAACAAGAAGCTATTAGAAACAGGTGCATCGCTACTAGTAACAAGTGCCTTACTAGTAGTAACAAGAAGCCTAGTGGGCCCCAGATTCCAGAAGGCCGGGTGGACAGTTAATGGCCAGCGCATGAGAGCTCTATGCTGAATGACAACCTCAAAATGTTGCAATACAACAATGCAACGGGGAGTGAAGGGCAATGAGAGGTTGCGACACGTTAGCAGAGTTCAGAGAAAGGCCAGGCTGCCTACTCTTCCAAGATACGGACGATCTATGACCCCACATGAGCTTTACTATTCTCTGGATTTGCATTGGCCAAAAGAGTGTGCGGCCAAGCCTTACGCGGCCTGGGTTCCCATCTTCCATACCAAACCAACGCGTCTCTCTTTGGTAGTTGGCTTTGGGAGTCCTGATATATCCTGAAATATAGTGTTTCAATAATTTGTATTATTTTTCACTATTTGCTTGCTGGTCACGTGCCCATAACAGCAAGGATCACCCGTGGAGTTTAGTGATGGATGCTAGATGATGCTAGGGTGTTCTGACCATTGCCACAGGATTCCACCACTCCTTGGGTTAGGCAAGCAACAAACTGGACTCCACTTTCAAGCATGACGTCCTCAGTCGTAAACAGCAGCATTGACTCAGAATGAGTGAACTTAACAGGTGATTCTGCAAACTAACCCAGGGACCAGGATTGGGCAAACCCCTATTCTAAAAAACCTCACTCCGTTCGGAGATGCTGCATCATCGAAGCATTCAGGTGCATGATTCTGACGATTTCTTGTGGAGATGCACTGCCGACATTGAATGAGACAAATTCCCCACTCACGGCTCAGAAAAACAAATATATATAATGACACCAACAATGTGACAAAGTATATCCTAATTGTTGACCACGTTACGAGTACCAGTTTGACTCCGAATCAGCAAACGACCCAACTAAAAAGCATCATGGCAGTGCCCTGCGCATCTTTTCATGGAAATAGTTGAAATAGTGGTTCATATAATATCATATAGTATGCGCGCATCTTTTTTGCCGCCAGGTCACTACCATGCCGCGACCCTTGTCCAACGTGCTCAAGGGATAGGGTGATAAAAGGTCACCCCCAATGCTGACGATGAGGTTCTCTCGTCTCAGCCCATAGGAACAATCCTCAGGCTGGCCACAGGAACAGTAGAACACAAGCCCTTGTCGTACTGAACAGGCACCCCCATCTTGAATTACCGGGTCTTCCAAACTGACCGGGTTTTCTTGCTAATTACTTCTTGGCTCAGTTTCCAGGGAAGCACTTCATAGTTGAAGTAAACATTAAGATTCGATACCCAACAATAGTTGGTCTGTCATGATCTGACTATGATATACTATGATTTCATGTCAATGCCAAGTTGCAAGTGCACAGGAATTTAATTAACATTAACTAACTAATTATATTTACATCAAAGGGTAAATGGTTGGCTGTACTATAATAATACACTGTATTACACTCCATATCATTCCTTCCAGCATGTAGTAGCTCAAGTAGCCACAGAACCGATTTGAGCCAGGCAACGTCCAGAAGTTTTCGCAGTTTGGGCCTTGGTTTCAGAAAGACTTGAGACTCCAAAGCCCAGAGCTGTAATGGTTTCGTCCAAGTGCTGCTAAGGCCCAGACTTGTCGGGCCGGGCCCCCCGTGGTTGAAATACAGAACAAACAAAACCATAGAAGGGACATCTACAATAAAATGTTACCCAAAAACAATTGGCGCCATCAAGGCAGATGTCACCTGTGGTTCATAAGCTATACGGTACCCTGCTCAAAGCAAAATAACTTGGGTAAGATGCGTCAGTGAGTGAGTTACAATGGCAAGAGTTGGTAACAATTGCGGTGCCCATAAATTACCCATGCCCGTCCCACACACACCAAAGGATCGGACAAATTATGATCTAAAACATTACCCCGGAGCCAAAAAAAGTAGCTGCCCATGCCACGACTTTATATCCACTCTTGAAAGGATCTGGAAGTTTCTAGGTGACATATCAATAAAATACCTGATTACAGGACAATCAAGATCAAAGCAGTGAAACTCACTCCAAATATATAGTGCGCGACAGCGATACTGACGTGATAACGTGACGAAGCATTGTCAATGACAATCTCCAAGTGGCAAATTGTCCATAATGTAAACATCGTTGATATGTACAAAGCGCATACGGACCACTTCGCCTGAATCACCTTCCTTAGATGTGATGGAATCCAGCAAAGTTGACCAATTCAGCTCTTCTCAACCTTAGTCTGGCCTCAACTCCCTTCTTTCAACGAACAGAAGTTGTTATAGTTATAATGCACACCAAAGGCACTGCCTTGGACCGCAGCATCCACAACGCCTGTTCATCCTGCGGCTCCACTTTGGAAGACTCCACTGTCACCGGCTCAGGGTCTCTGCGCCGCCTGTCCCACTGAATCCCGAGAAGCCACAGTGCAGTGCGCCTATCCAACCCTCCACAAGCTTGGTGGATACAAATAAATCTGCCATGGAGAATCAAACAATGTGATTCAGGTTATGGGTGAGTACCGTTGCAGCCAGGATATCTCAGCCATCACCGTTTCACGAGTTTGTCATCTAGAATGAAAGAATAGAGAACCTCCCTTCAGCATCCTTCAGCTGGGTGTTTATTCATGGCACTGAGAGGCAAGCCATAGCCATACGATGCCATACGATCTGTATCCTCTCCTTGACTGCTAGTTTCAAGAAGAGATGAAAAAGAGTCACTCCAGTAAAAGCCGTCCACAAGGAAACGCCTCAAGCCCTCACCGCGCCTCCCAAGCCAATACCCCACCGCCCCGGAGGTCACAGCAGTGGCAAGCAATGAGATCAGCATGGCAGCAGTAATTGGATGTGATTCGAGCGGGTTATTGGTATGAGTGTTGCCGCAAATCCCTCAGCCAGCTGCAATTCAGAGTCTTTCATCCCCGTGCTTGGCACTGGTCATGTCAGGGTGCTTTCTAAACCAAGGCTCCAACAAAAAGGCAGCCACTCACAAGAAATACGTTGCTTCTATGTGCTTCTCCTACCAATCAAACGCATTTATGCACCAGTGGGCTTATGTCATCAGCCCCCCTTCTGGCCATGACATGGCCCTCTTTCCAATCTTTCCAAGAGTACGTAACTGTAGTAGACTCCGCTTTCGCTGTGCATGTTTCGGCAGGTGTGAGTTGCATTCGGCGTGGGCTGTGATGACTGGCATCCTTGATCGAATCTAAACATCTTGCATAATTAGTCATGTCAAGTCGGCATTCTTCTTCCCTGCGCTCCTCTTTAGTTAGTGCTAAGCTCGATTGACTTCTTTGGTCAAAGGATCTCGCGAGGGAAATCATCATTCAAGCTTTCCATCAACCTCTTCGTACAGTTTGCATATGCAACGCCTCTCAGGAAGGCACATAGTAAAGACAGGAGATTAATCCAGATGTTTTGTCTTGTTCGGTTTTAGAAAAGTGAGAAGGGCTCAAGAACAGTGTTATGCTATCAATAATTACATCAACAGAAGTGAAAATGAGAGATCATACACCAAGTGGAAGACTTTCAAGACTCAAAAGACAGCACGCAGTTATTTTCAAAAGCCCCTGTCAGCAAACTTAATTACACATCAGTGACAATTTGACAATCCCGCCAAACAGTAAGGAACATGTATGCAAGTGTTGATTTGTCAACCTAGATACTGCACAAGGTTCCATTGGCATCCATTGACCATATTATGTGTCCAACGAAGCAAATGGCAAAAATAGAAAGCCCCCTTGAAACCTTCGCCAATGCATCATAGGAGGCTCGAACGACAAACCGGTAAGGGCCCCAGTAATAAGGATCCTTTCTCATTGTTCAAGATCCCTAGCCTCCCTGAAAATCCCCCTTGGGCAACCCCACGCAGCTCAGCTTTAGGCTGTCTTCCGGCAGAAAGTGATCCCTGTCAACTCTTCACGGCTCGCTTCATGAATTCCTTTTAAACAATGTAGCAATGACCAAGGGACCAAGATGGACCAAGTAACTTCCATTTGATACCAATACCATAGTTATATAGTTTAGTTGTATACCATACTTTGATGTTCCAGGTGCATGTCTATGCCTGGATTCGATGAAGTGCTGCAGGAGGTCCAAGCTCAAATCATGGCCTGGGCGGCGGTCGGGATGTGGGCCCAGGGGAGGGAGCCTGCCAAAGAGCTCACGATAGCGGCAAGGAACAATGGAGGTGCTTCAAAAGTGCCACATTTGCAAAGATGGGAAAAGTAGGTGGCCGGTGGCCTTTGATCTTTTTGTTGAATTACCGGCTGGCCACAAACAAAAGGTGTGCAAAGCCAACCTTGGTGCTGGATTTGTATTGATTAGTGTCTTTGACTGCATGATTTCTGTTCCTCCAGCACGTCTGCTGCAGGCAGGCCTACCAGTACTAGCTTCTGCATCCACAAGTCCTCTGCTTCACCACTGGTTTACCAATTTCATGTGTTGGGTCCTGTTTGGTCGGGCTAGAATGCCTAAACCACGATGCAGCGATGCAATTCTGATGGTTCATGGTTTATAGCGCGTTCTTATTGAGTCCCCAACCTGCGGCTAAGAGTCGACTGATGCGAAGCCTAAGAGTGTTTGGCAAAAGCCAAGTCCAATGCAGGTCAAGACACATCTTCAAGCTATGTGTACTAATGTACTATGCAAACTGGTTGACTGTCACAGGTCCAAGCTCAGCTAGCATCCAGATTTCTCATGCACAAGACGAGCCTGCTATTTACACACTGCAATGATGATGAGACAACTTCACTGCACTGGGTGCGAAGACCACAACTGCCGCATAGCTAAAGTGGATTTTTCACTTCCTGAACAAATGCTGGGCGCAAGATCAGGCCGCATGGCACTACATGGCTGCTACAATGCTACAAATCATCTTCATGCAACAAGTAAGGTCCTTCAAAAGAGTGGAAACAAAAGAAGGTAAAGACCCCTTTGTTAAAGGGACTCAAACTACAAACAAACACCGTCTTTTGTTTCCCCGTTTTAAGGACCTCTTCAGGCAAAGACTGAAACTGATTTGTTTGTTGCATTTGCAACAGTCGAGATGGTCGAGAGCCCTCGTCAGCATGGCAAAGAGCTGAAACGAGCAATGTTGGTACTTGCATTGAGCTGGTCAAGCGGCATCACTATCCCGAACTACATGTAATTACACAGCACATCTGGGAGTTTCTTCCATCCCTGGATTCAGGAGAATTTGGCAGTGAAGAAACCACTTTGACCATGGAGCCTCTTACTTCTTCAAACAACACTAGACCTGGCTCTAAACGAGTAGCACCTTCTTTGACCTCAAAGAATGTGATCAAGCCACAACAGGCCTAGTTTAGGCTTTTTCACAAATTCATTTTCACAAATTCTTTGAGATTATCCACAGCATCCCTACTGTAAACACTGACACCAAACAAATCATCGGGAAAGCATGATCACCCCAGGTTCAGAAGTGGGTACAATTCTCTGCCTGCCTCATGCCTCATTGATTGAAAAAAGTGGGTGGCGCTGTTGCGAGCCAGGCCTCGTGCCAGCATTATGCCGCCACGGATCTCTCCCTGAAAGGTCTGCCGGGCTAGGCATGATTCAAGGAATGCTGCGAGCGCCATGAGCGCAGCATTTATTTAGGCGTAGGATTGTTTGGTTTTGGGAGTAAATTGCAACTAAGTTTGAACACCTAAACCCTGAGAAACAAATGGCAGGAATAGCCAGCCGGTGAAGCGCTATGGAGTGTAAAGGACGATGGATGAGCTCGGAAGTGCTGGAGCCTGTGCCTTCGAAGATGCCATGTTGATGCAATAAGGAAAATTCTGCCAAATAAACTTGTTGCGGGTTCAAGATACTCGCCTCAGCTGGAGACACCAGAAGGAGGCCAAGAGCTTTCAATCCCAAGATGATCCTCAGCCCATGGACCATCCCTGTAGTTGAACCTACATGTCATCAGAGACAATGCAAAATATCTCCAGGCGTACAACTGTGCTCTTGCACAAACAGGTTCAACACATTACAGATGCAGTTGACGCATGTATCTGTTCCGTGCCTGCTTGGATTTGACTTGGAAGCCAAGTATAATGCACACGCATACTTAACATCATCAGGACCAATAGTGAAGTGGGGATGAACCCCTCGATCAGTCTGTTGATGTGGATACAGATGCTGTCTTGAGGGGGAGTCAAAAAAATCACGGTGTCCACAAATACACCAAGCAATGTTGATGCTGTGGGAAGAAGGGATGGAACATGCCATTAGAAAAACACACAGGCACACGATCGCGATTTGAGAGTAGGATCCAGTGCATGAAGGATCTGGAGCTAACAAATGCACGAGCCATTGATGGCCGCAGAAGTCAAACAGAACGAAAGCTCCGACATCTATATAGAAGCTGGTTTGTTAGAAGCCTCTTCTAGAGTCTACATAAGTATGACATGTTCTACAGATGCACTCAAAGTCCTGGTATAGGCAGCTCCGAGACCCCAACGATCCATGGGCCAACAAACACCAATCTCGAGTTATGCCTCCGGCACGCTGTCAAAACACGTTTTAAAACAACAAAAGATCAAGAGGATACGAAAGGTCTAAGCCTCAACAACTGGTGAGACATGTGTTGAAATATGTCCAAGCAACCCATGGGTCGAAGATTGTCAACGGCTGTTTTGGGCACCCCGGCTGCTTCTCAAGACCCTTTGGCTCAAAGAGGAGGCCAACAACCTTGGCCCAGTCAAGCATCTTTTGACATGGGAAGGACTGTGGCCGCCCCTCGTCACACAAGAAACACGTGACAAAGCAGCTATAATTGCACCCTGCAAGGCCCGACAAAAAAAGGGAGACATTGATGTGACAACTTCCCTCTAAATAAAAAGAACAAGTCATTTTTGAGAACAACTTCATCTTGTGCTTTCCAGTGTAAATGTCCACACTACATCTGTAAACGTTCAAAAGGTCCTATCCAAAAGTCATTGGATGTATCGTAACTTGGAGTAGTCTAGGCACATGGCCTCGTGAGGGTACCGCGGTGCTCTTTGTAGAAGATGCTTCTATAAGGCAAGTTGAACAATTTCCGCACAGCCGCACCACACACGAGCGGCAAGCCGGTCTTCCCTTCATGAATCGGACCCACTTAAGATCCCGTCAAACTGACAATGACCACTTGCTCAAGGACCTGAGAGCGGGCCGTGGGAAACGCAAAATCCCAGCAGCAAACACCCAAAATGTACTTGTTGTTGGAGGTCTTTGAACTGTGTTCTATGAGTCCCGCCGCAGGAAACCCTGCTCTCTGGGCACACTCGCATTTCCAAACACCTTGTTGCATTCAAAAGAAATCTAATCTCAAGACTTCTCGAGACTCACAACAGGTTCGTTCCCAATAGCATACCGAAGCCTTGGGCCAATGTCAAGAATTCCATAGAATTCCTGTACCCCAGTGCTTCCTGACAGTCTTCATGCTCCTTTCTGAAAGGACCCAGCCGGGCTCAGGAAAATGTCGCCCCTGGCACTCTGAAATGGTCAGCCAATTTGGAAAAAAGGACTCTTTTGGTGCACGGTCATCGTCATCAGAGTCATCACTGCCCCTGTTTCGTTGCGGTGCCCAGTTTGGCACAAAGACCTTTCAAAGTGAAACTCATGCAGGTGGAGCAAGTTCAAGTTTGGTCACCGGGGGCCAAATATTTTTTGTCATGGTCAAGTTGCCTTTCTCCTGCTTCCCTTTCAGGAGAATTCAACATCCGTATTGGAACATGACCCATGAGAGAAAAACCTTTCAAAAGGCCTTTCACATCCTCTCACAGAACAACTCAACAGAACCATTTATATAACATCATTTGACTGGCTACGGCTGCGAAAAAGCAAATTGGGAGCGCGATGTTTCAACAGTGTATCGGGGAACCATCGCGATCATCACAATCACAAGAGTCCAATGTGTATTATATACCATGCATATTATCCAATTATACAATGGTACTTGCCTTCCTGGCAGGACAAAAACACTGGACATGTTGTGAACCCGACAGCAAGACCAAGCGGAGAGCATGAGTTGTACCGTAAGGGTTTTCAGTTGCAAAAAAAGATCTTGTTTTTGAAGAACCATGAAGAACCTTGATTGATGTAGAACACAGGGTGCCCAAGATCTGCCTATTCGGCGGCGCCAAACCCGCCAAGTGCTCGATCAACGGATATCAGGCAAATTCAGGCAAACCGGCCTTATGCCATGGAGGCGAGGCGCAAAGTTCGACTCCTGGAGGCTCCGAGTCGACTGCTTTTGCGAAAAACACGATGAAAGGTGTTTGGAGGCCTTTAACAAAGAATGTTTATTGTTTATTCGGGGGAGTTTGAAGGAGCCCAAACACCTTTGGATCCGACAAGTAGGGTGCTTGAGCCACATCCTACGTCTGATCACTGATCACTGAATACAAGCTCTTGAGACAATGCAGCACAAAGCACCACTGAGATCCACTGAGGACGTATTGCAAGTCTTGCATTGCAAGTGGAAAACTGGATCAAGAGCACCATCATTGCCTATGCGTTTGGGGCTCAAGGTTCATGGGCGGCTCTGCACGCATTCAAACCCTCTGAACGTGTTGGGCTTCATGATGAGGTGGTCTCCTCTAAGTCTAGCACCATTGACCATCTCAGTAGACTCAATCCTCCGGGTGTGTAAACAGAGGTGTTCGGTTCAGCACAAGTGTGTTGTTTGAAGTGCAATATCTTTTGGAGTTCTGAAGGCCCCGAGTGGTGTGCCTCCAACCTAGCGATGGCCTGGAATATGTTCATCACGGTTCAGGGAGGTTCTCCTGAACGTGGCTGCGAGGAATCTCGTCCTGAGCTGCGGTCCCTTCGAACCCTTCACCGTGCAAGGGAGTCTCACAACCGAAAATAAAGAAAGCGTACACCGTAATTACAAATCATGGTAGATCGGATGTTGCAAGCAAAAAAAGGACATCACACGACATGACCCATCTGCAGATTCTGGGCTCCTTTCTTTATAACTTACAATTGAAATTTATAACTACAACGACTTCTATCAGCAGAAACAGTATTGAACACTTTGTGGCAGCCTGCGTCTTCCCGCTACTCCCCCACTGACCAACTGAGCATGGCACCAAGACACCAATTCCAAAGCGAAGGCATCCTTGAATGGATGTGATGAATATGTGAGATGTTCTGAGTTCCCAAGATCTCTATTTGGGGTATCTGTTGCAGAGACTCGAATCCAATCAATCAAGCTGGTGGCAAACTATCAAACTTGGGAGCATCGTGTTGCTGCACTGGGCCCATGTGCAAAGTGTTGATAAGACAGTCATCTAGCCGCCAGCCATCTACCACTAGTTCAAGCATTATTATCTACTTCAATCGCCTCCGCATCCTTCTGTGGTCTAGGAATGGAAGCAACTGCACCGACTGTACGTGTGCCCATCTGAAAGCTTTGCCCTTTATGAGGCCCAGGCTGAGCAGCATCCCGAAGTAGAATGATGAGACCTGCTTCTTTGAAGCAAACGCAATGGTACGTAGGCTAATTTCACCTGCCACCGCTAATAACTGAACATGTGGAAAGTGGTTCAAACCCTCATGAATCAAGATAAAATGCTTGTAATGCTCCGGTGATGTGCAAAGTCTATCGGACCAAGCGAACCACCAGGGCGTAAGCTCAGTATCATCAACATCATCATCAGCTTTCAATTCAATGTCATCTGAAAGACTAAAGAGCCACCTTTGCTGCACGGCAAAATCACAACTGAGATCGCAACAAACATGCAACAGCCATTCTGTCACTCGAAGCCCAAAGCCGAATCAGTTTTCCCACGATTCCAGCATAGTAGGCACCATGCTAGATACTTCTGGTTGTGCCCACCTTGGACCATTCATCCTCAGCCTTAGCAAGGCCGAAGTTGAGTGTTCCATTGCCCTTGGTCCGTGCACATGTTGTATCAGTAACTTGAGAACCCAATGCAACCTGCGCCAACGCCTACTTAGTCTAGATCCTTTAAGACTCGACCCTTCCAAGCTGATGTTTACCCCAGCATACATGAATGCGAATCACTCCCATACCTAGACATGCGAATCACTCCCGTGGCCAGTAGCGTTCTAGCTTTGATTGAATCCCCTTCACCAAGTCCAAACAGGTACAAGCCGTTGAGCTTCCAGGCCAACTCGTCCAGTCCGAAGGCTGCCTTGGTCAAGATCTTTGCCACCACGGGCATCTTTTTCCTCACCTGATCATGTGCAGGGCAGTCCAAACTAGTAGACAACTGGAAGGCCACCGTACCTTTCATTGAAATCACTGGTCTTCCAGAGATTTCTGATTGTACCCAGGTTCTTACGGGTCATGGACAAAGGTAGTAAGGTAGTGATCTGTCACATGTCGCAGATTCACTTACTTTGGATCGTAGGATTCCTTGAAGTGGATCTAAATAAAGATCAGGCAGGAGATGTCGAGATCTGCTGTTACTTTGGTCCTCCTGAGGCTCAAAAGCAAAAAGGACTCCTTGCGTTGGAGCACCTGGTTCAATCAGAAAACTATGTACATACATCACGTTGTTGAAAGGCTAAAGCTCAAACCACTGTGAAACCTCTCATCCCTAGGATGAGCAAGCTGACCATCTCTATTGTGTCTTTGCTCACTTGCATGGCCGTCCGTGAACATGTTCTTGCTCAGTATCTTTGCTGTGAACTGTCCAGAGGTGAAAGTTGCTCGGGAATATCTTGGTGGAGCATGTCAATATGTGTCAATGATATGTACTGATTAGTGCCGTGAACTGTGACAAACCTGTCAAAGCCTGTGAAAGAGCTACAATGTGAAAACGAGAGGAATGCGACAGGTTTGCTCTTGTACCGTACCTCACAACCTCATGCTGCTCGCAGTTTTTCACGGCTACTTGGTTTGACCGATCCCCAAGCCATCTGTCTCCAGACTCAAAGTCTCAAACTGCAGGAAGTGGATTAAAAAAACAAGATGGAACCCACGAACCCGAATGGAAACACGTTCCAAAAAAAACTACATATGTCCAAATGACACTCTTGTAGGACACTCTTGTGGGACACTCTTCTGGGACACTCTTGTAGGACACTCTTGTAGGACACTCTTGTAGGACACTCTTGTGGGACACTCTTGTAGGACACTC